TGCTTCCATCGGCCTCCTGGATTTTTCCTTTTCCTTTTATTCTTTGTAAATGTGTCCTCTTGTAAATTTTAACTGTATATTTATTTATTGTTTTAGTATGTTGTAAGCCGCCCAGAGTCCCCCATTGCGGGGTGATGGGCAGGGACAAGCTAGCTAGCTAGCTAAATAAATAAATAAAATGCATTTTACTACATCTCAGATCATACTACCTTCAGTAGCAATGTTGACTATCAGGCAAGTCAACGGCTTTAGCCACTTTTTGACTTGGCAACAGAATCTCAAGGAGATGAAATATTATGGTGGGAGAATACAGTTATAAAAGCAGGGCACTGCACAAAGAAACATTGAATTGGATTTATAAAATGGGGTCTGCAAAGGCTTTATGTGCAAATAGAATACAGAACTGACTGCATTTAAGGTCGAAAAATAGCACCATGCTGGTTTCTCCTCATATTTTTATGTTGCTCATGTTTTTAATAACAATAATGAGGAGCAGGAGGTGGTGGTGGCAACAGCTAAGAGCCTATTACAGTTCCCAAAGACTATGTCCCAGCCCTGATTCCATTCATTTTGAATTTGGGGGTGCTATTTTGTTTCCATGCTACTTGGCTCAGTTCCCTGCCAAGGTTCCCGTTCCCGTCAACAAGAAGGTTTTGTTTACCAAGTTAACAGGACTGCTAACATTGCTATTCATTAAGGCCACGAGCCCATTCACAAGGTCGCTGAAAAAAAAGAAGACACAGCATGAGCAGAGAGTCATTTCCTCATTTATGGTCTAGCTTTGCAAAGTGCTGATGCTGAAGAAGAACAGTTCTCTTGGGGGAAGTTTTACTGTAAGCAGTGGCATCCGTGGGGGGCAGGGGTCAAGGGGGCGCAGACTAACAAAGCCCCATCCCTCTTATACAAGCAGTGCAACACCACCTTTACCATTTGGATGAAAACAGGAAGCTTCTGCAGACACCCGTGAACAGAAGTCAAAGCAATTGAACCACAGCATCTTACTTTGAATACACATGAAGGGCTGGCACAAAACAGTTCTGCCTAAACAATTTTCACAAAAGACACAATGCACCCAAGGAGCACATTGAGACAATGGGATGGACTAGTTACCAGGGTGCCAGATATAGGTGCAGAACATAATAAAACTTTAAAATCAGGGTGGGGACCTTTTATTAGACTGAAGGCTAGACTTGGTTTTTGAGTGACACATCATGGCCCCTATTTTAATCACTGGTGTGGCCAAGTCAAGACTCAGATTAATTATATTGATTAAGAATAGTTAATGGAATTACTTCTTTTGGCCTTGCTAACATAAATTAAATAATGAAATTTACCAACAACTTTTGACAAGGTTCAGCACTTATGGCCATGCTTTAGAGAGGGAGGAAAGCTAATTTACTCAGGCAAATGGTTAGTTTGTAGACAGCCAGGGAACAAACACGTATATTCAATTAACTCTGGTTGTAAGTCTGGTATTCACTGTTTAAGTAGAACATTTCCAAAGACTCTTCCACTGTAATCACGGGTATCCACGGGGGTCAAAAACTCAAGGGGGTGGCCACAACTATGCAATCAAAGCCTGCCCTGTCATGATGCATACAAGTGGGGGAAGGGCACTGATCGCATGGTTTTGGTCACCACCTTGAGTTTTTTGAGCTCCTCCTTGGGAACATCTCTGCTTGTCATACTTAACGTTGGTATTAACAGCATAATGAACATTGGTGGGGAAATTCACTCAGTACAGTTATGGGATGGGAAAGAGGTTTTGATTCCCTGGTCCCTGGTAAAAAAATGGGTGGGGGGGGTTCTCTTATAATTAAGCTATATGATTTTTTTCCCCAACAAAATTTAACAAATATAGAAGCACAGGCATATGTGAGTGTGGAGCAGCAAAAGTAGTCACAGAATTTAAGAAATTAGCACAAACATTGTGCTTTTCCTTTGTTAGTGCTTAGCCACCATCATGCTGGCTAACACTGAAAAAAAATACTCTCCTTACAATAAAAACTGCATATCCAGATGTTCAGCAGAAGGTGGCAGTAATGTTTTGAGGAAAAACAGGAAAGGCCCAAAGGCTTCTGACACTTTTTTTTTGCCACTTAGGGTCACCTTGTAGTGTTACTTTATGATGATTACTAAGCACTTTATATTGATTATTCCCCATTTTGTAAAAACTATCTACTAAATACTATGTACAAATAGTGGGTATAAATAGATAGTTTATCCCTGCTGGGGTGGGCTGAATTAAATGTACTCAAGGCCCTGCTAGGAAAACACTCCACTCTGAAACTGTCTGGGGTACATAAATTTCCCGCGCTCTGCTCCAGACAAACACCTGAATGGCTGGCCCACCGCCAAAGCTTCTGCCTGAGCCAGGGTTCCACCAACAAATATACATAACTGGGACTGATGCAGACTTATTCACATCTCTGACAGACCCATTGGCCCATTTGCTTCTTTCTTTCTTCCTTATTTTTTTTTTAATCTAAAACAATCATTATTTATTTGCAACATTTATTATCAGCTTTCACTTAAAAGCAGCACCTCAGCAGGGATGCAACGAGAGAATCAGTGCATGACACTGGCTGCACTGTTATTTTCAGTGGTGTCCTTCATGTTTAACAGTTTGACGGATTGTTTAATTATACTACATATTGTTAGGAACTGCTCCAGAACTGTACAGCTGTTGTTGGTACTCAGAAATATTTAACCAGTGGTTTGATGATAGAAGACACTCTCCGTGTAATTTTAGGACTGTTTTTTAAATTAAAATAATAACAAATAAAACATGGCCAAATTAAATTAAAATAACACAGAGACGGCATGCTCTGGATCCCCTCGGCAAAAGAACTCCGACTAGTGGGGTCCAGAAGACGGGCCTTCTCTGCTGTAGC